GAGGGAGGTGGGGCAGCGGGCGGGGGCCCCGAGCCCCGGAAACCACCTGCCCCAGGGGCCGCAGCCCGCGCCTCTGCGTTCACCCGCGAGATTATCCGCGGAGTCAGAGGACGACCCACTCCGACTTTCCGCCCTGAGACTGGAGCCCCCCCCCCCATGTGTAACTTATTCTTGAGCGCTGGCTTTGTGTTTTCAGTAGTGTGGTTCTGGCGGGAGGAGTGGCACCCGTTTTTTGAAGGAACTTCTTGGGGTCCGGAGTAAAGAGTGTGGCACAGGGGCAGGCAGGAGGGTTACATGCAATGGCGGGAACTCAAGGAATGTTCAAAACGCCCTTCTTTTTCAGTGTCTGGACTTAAGGGCCAGGGCTGGGTGGTTCGGTGGCGTTTTGTTCCTGAGAATGTGCAGGGTCACAACGAACTTATTCTATAAGTGTCCGCGTTCTTGTCCACAGGCTGGAAAGAGGCAGGTAGTTTAGGGTGATATTTAGGGACTGCATAGGAAGTAGGTAAGATTATATTCTTTAAAGTACGGTTTTCCAGGTGTTCAAGTCGTGTAGACAAAGTATTAAAATTAGTGTTTGCAATATTTACAGCACATCGGAAATGTAAATAAAGTAAAATAAAATCTCTTGCAGACAGTTATTTTGAGAACTTCAAACAAAAAGTTGAGGGTCCAGCAGGTGATGTGGTGGTCGAGGCACTGAACTCCCATAGGGGGCACTGCACTTTGAGTCGTGGACCTGGCGCCTTGCGTTCTCTCTCTCTGGTCAAATTGAAGAATAAATAAAATTAAATAATAAGTAATTCTTTTTCAGAAGTTTAAAATGGATAACTATTGAGCATAAAAGCATCTAACGTGGTGCATTTCCTTAGTATAAGTGATCACACCTAAAAAGAAACAAGAGTGAAAGAGGAAGGAGAAAAGGACTTGGAATATGAAGTAACTATAAAGAACTTAAAATCATTATCAACTTCAGGAGGCATCCCCCAAAAAATCAATAAACAGGGTACTGGTTAGCCAGTGGCATGCAATCTCTCTCTCTCTCTCTCTCTCACACACACACACAGACACACATAGCCGATTATGTGGTTAGTCCCAGACCTTGTGCCTGGAGGTACACGCTTGCCAACTCAAAATCCCAGAGACTGGAAAAGGGACTGAGGCATGGCCACTGGCTTTGGGGTCGTCTCTGCCACCCAATGACAAATTAAAAAACAGAGTATGAGAAAATCAGGTTTTTATTTAATTTTTTGAAAGAATTATCTTATTTAACTATTTTAAAATTTGACTAGAGAGGGACAGTGAGAGAGAGAGGGAAAGGGAAAGTGAGAAAGCAAGCTGCCAGGTCTAGGACTGGAATGCCCGGGTAGGCCACGTGGGAATTCGACGCCCTTAACCACCTCGCCATCTGCTGGCCCCAGAAAATCAGGTTAAGTTACAAAGTAAACCCTGGCTACTATTCTCTAGGACACACGTATTTTTTGAGGAGGGGAGATTTTTTTTTTTTTTTTTTTTTTTGCTATAGGGCCCTGCGCTAGCTGGATAGAGTTGAGACATAGAGACAGAAAAGGAGAAATCATAAATATCCCACACATATACACACCATGGCCATGCTTCAATCCCTTCTCCATTGTCCTCTCCAGATTTTGGGCTCCCACGTGCACACCTACCTGGATTAAGTTTTAAGCCATTAGGTCTGGGACTACATGGGAGTCCAGCAATGTAACTGCTAAGCCATCTGCTGGTCCCTCTCTAGGAAATATTTAACATAGTAATCATCTCCACATTAGCTACTAAATTTTTTATATTTAAGATGAGGGGGCTGGGGGCCGGCGGGTGGCATGGTGGTTGGGGGCGCTGTACTCCCACATGGCCAACCACGGTTCAAGTCTCGGACCTGGTGGCTTGCTTTTGTCACTTCCTCTCTCTCTCTCTTTGTCTCTCTGATCAAACTGGGAAATAATAATGATAATAATAATAAATAAAGTTAAATAAAATAATTCTTTAAAAAAAGATGAGGGGGCTGACATTCATTTTATCAAATTCTCAAGATATGTACCAAATTTAATGTCAGTTACAGAATTTCATGAGATCTTAGTTTTAAATTGTAGAAAACAGCACATCTAATTAAATTTGGTTACATACAATTTAAAATAAATACAATGAGGTAGTTCAAGTAGGCAGTAGTTTGATTTTTCCAGTGTGAATCCCACTCCCCGGGGGCTGACATTCATTTTATCAAATTCTCAAGATATGTACCAAATTTAATGTCAGTTACAGAATTTCATGAGATCTTAGTTTTAAATTGTAGAAAACAGCACATCTAATTAAATTTGGTTACATACAATTTAAAATAAATACAATGAGGTAGTTCAAGTAGGCAGTAGTTTGATTTTTCCAGTGTGAATCCCACTCCCCCATAAAGCCTACAAGGAGTGAGAAATCACCCCCTGGGGGTATAGCCACTCCACAGTCTCTTCTCATCACAATCCCTTCTCCTCCATTCTCCAGATTTTGGGACTACTCACATACATACCTGGCGTGATGGTATGGGACTCAACCTGTGGTTGGCCATGTGGGATACCAGCGCCTCACCCACCTGTTGGCCCCCCAATGTGAATTTTTTTTTTTTTGAGAGGTTTCTGCTATAGGGCACGTGCACTTGCCAGAAAGAGAGAGAGACAGAGAGACAGAAAGACAGAAAGCGAGAAATCACCACCCAGTGGGGATGGCCATGCCACAATCCCTTCTCTATTCTCCTCGGGATCCTGGGCAAACATGCACATGTGCCCGGCGTGAGTTTTAAGCCACCAGGTTCGGGACTCAATCCGCAGTCGACTACAAAGGAGTCCAGTGACATAGCCATTACGCTAACTGCTGGTCCCTCCCAATGTGAATTTTTAATGTAAGCCCTGAATGCAATTACAGACACTTGTTCTTTTTCTTTCATTTTATATGGATATTGGCATTTGTCCTACCACTTCTCTGTACTTAATTTTTATTAAAAACATACTTATGAACTTATACTTTGAGTCATGTTTGTAGTATTAAAATAAAGTTTTATTTAAAAATATTAAAAACATGATTCCTTTAGGAAAAAAATTACACATTCCCCTTCTCCAAATCCATGACAATATTTAGAACAGTATTTGCAATGTGTGGACCTACAAAAGAATGACCAGGATGTTTGAGCCACTTGGAGTCTTCTTTAAAACTGATTTCTGAGCCCACTCTGGATCTACTAAATCAGAATCTCTGAGGATGGTGTCTAGGGCTAATTTTAAAAAATGGTCCCAGGATTATTTTTATAGTAAAGTTTGAGAGCCACTGAATTAAAGTAAAAAACCAGGATGTGACCTTGTGTGCAATTTCGTTGTAGGCATTAAATATATATTAAAATAATTTAGGAAGTCCAGTCAATTGCCATAATGGTCTGTAAGGTAATCTAAGACTGCTGATGTACTTGACAGAGCATTAAAGATCCTTTTTTCCTGCCTTGAAGTTATCTTCTCCATCATGTACATTAAATGTTGATGGAAACACATATAAGGAGTTCCTAGCTCAAGAGCAATGTCAACCCAGTCCCAGATGCATTTCAGTGGGGTTTCCTCATATCCAGCAAACATGGCTGGGTTTGCTAAGAGTCCTCTTGCCACCATCACACCTACAAATGAAAGCACACCATATTTATCCACACATTATGAACCAGTCATTAGTTCAAACTCAATGAAAGAAATTGAGAATATTAAGAACATAAAGTCTTAAACAAAACATTTAATAGACACAAAAATGAAGTTATCTATTGATGATCATATATATGGTAACATCTTTGACTTGACTAATATGCACTATATTCATTCTGGGAAAATGTTATAAACTGTAAAGATGTACAGTGAATAAATACTTTTTAAATGTAACTTAAAATGTATAATAAAAAGAAAAAAAGCATTATCACGAAGTTTCACAATGTCCTTAAGTCTATTTAATTCAATTAAAAAACTGTTTTGGTACCTTTTGTAAACAAGGCAGTTTAAATGTATTTACAGAGTTATTTATTTATTTAAGACTTCTACATGAAACAATTAGTCTTTTGTTTTCCTTCAGGGTAAAAAATTCATATCCTAAATTAGGTTGCTAAAAGTCAAGGTTATCTGCGTTCTCTCACTTAGGAATAGCTAGCACAAGGCTTGGCTTAATATGTTAGTAATTTAAGGGGATAATGAAAGAGCAGGGCACTTCTGGGGTTCCTTGGCTACTACGATCACTCTTGAGTTCATTAACTCTCATTTCTATTCTATTTGCTTTATTTTACTAATGGGCTATCTGGAAGATTTTTTAATTGGTCGCTAGATATGATAATGGCAGAAGAATAACTGAATTAATTCATCCCAGTTAAACTAATCAATTGTTTTAAGTAGAAGATTTAACATCATTTTAATAAATTGTTTAGCTTAAATGACTATACTGGAAAAATATGGCTCAATGTGATGAAAATCAAATTAATGCTACTCTCCCACTCTTTTTTCCTAATTAAAAGATGAAAAAATCCAAGTACTTATTTCTTACCATCTGTCCCAGTAATCTGCCACACATTTTCTGCTTCTTTTAAGCTTCTGATATCTCCATTAGCAATTACAGGTATAGATATACTTTCCTTAATTATTTTAATGGCATCATAGTGGACTGGCTGATGTCTCTCTTCAGCAGTTCTTCCATGGACTGTAATCCAGGAAACTCCTGTGGCTTCAGCCTTTCGACAGAGATCTACAGTTCTTGTAAGGTCATCATGGATCCTATAATTTCAAAATCACATTAATCTGTTTATTACACACAAATCTCAGTAACAAATTAATAAATTAAGTAAAGTGATTAGTATCTACTACACTTAATTAGGTTTACTATATCATATAATCACTTCATGCCACTATCAGTAAACTTTTGTTCAGGGATCAGTTTCCACCAAGACCTCAAATTTAGCGATCTCACTATTGACAGCAAATAAGTTTTATCTTAATGAGGGCTTTTGGATTTGATAAATGAAAGAGCCATCAAAGCACTATCACAGATGTGCATGTCCAAGTCTCCAAGTGGGAGAACATAATATTTTATCTTGACACGTTTTCAATGTTCACTTAAAAATATTCTTGGTTTTTCTTTTCATTGTAAAATTTCAATGCAAATATCTATTTTCTACTCTTGATACCAGGAATGTTTCTTAGCATTAATGAAATAGTACAAAGAAAAAGTTGAGGATTTGGAAAACTTCACAATAAGAAGAAGGTGTTTAATTTTTGTTAAAAATAAAAAGATGAAGTTGTTAACAATTATAAATAAAATGTATGACATATATTAATTTATCCAATATATTGTTTCATATGTTTCCATATGCCAGCTACCATTTATTTAGCACTGATACTCCCATACTATCAAACAAAAATGAATATTCTTTTATTTTCTAAGTAACAGACTGTCTTGTCAAAAGTTTAAAAAAATATTGTCTTTTTACCTTATTTTAATAGAAATTGAAAATCCAGGGTTTTCCACTTGATTTCTTACTTGTTTCACCATATCACGAACAAGCTCTGGCTTGTTTATTAAGCAAGCCCCATAACCTTCTGCCATTGCCCACCTTTATAAAGCAAATATAACAAATGCACTGTAAATAGCTGGAAGTAAATATGACACTCTAACAGTACTGTAGGTGCACTGATATATTTTCTATCTAGCAACCTGAAGTGGAAGTAGATTTTTAAAATTCATAAATATAGCATTTCTAAGTGGATCAATATGAGAGTACGAAAACATGTTCCCAGATCAAAAAATACTCATGGGAAATGGTTTTCACTGGCAAGTGAGAATATTAAATGAAAAATCATTCAACCAAAACAGATTTAAGCATTTGTAATTAACTGCAATTACTTCAGATTTTTAAAATACCAAATTTGATGTTTATTGTGTATAACAAGAGATTTTAATAGCCCTGATAGTGGGTATTTTTGGGTCACAGCATTCCAACACCACTGAACAGCGTATTTAACCCTCCTAATGAGTATACGAATATGTTTAATCTGATTTGGACTATGCTGTATTTAAAACTTCAATTTTATTCTTTAAACACATTTACAGATATCCTAGTACAGTGCCAATATGGTAGGGATATTATTGTCAAATTAAGCGTATTCTACCAACACCCAGTTACTCAAACTCAACCAAATAACTATAGTATAGAAAGAAAAAGTTGACTATAATGAGGTATTTTTGGATTATAACAATGTATTTTTGTGAGGGAAATTCATTAAAAGAAAATGTGACAATCACCCAAGTCACAGAGTCAGTTGTTGGAGCAAGTATATTTGAGATGTCAGTAAAACAACATTTTAGGGATTGCTGTAAACATTCAATTTTCATGTAACTACTTATGAATGAGGATCAAGGCATATCCACAAAAAAATGCTAGTAGTAAGAGGGAGAAGAAACAGTCAAGAGTCTATACATTGTTTAAGCCATGAACAAACAACTTTGAAGTTATTTCTAAATATATGTTAAAAATCCACAGACCCAACATTTCTAACCTTTCTTTATATTTTTTTATTTCTTGCTTGCTTAGAGCCCTGATTCTTTTAACTCTTTTCCTTTCTAATTTTTTGAAAACTAGAAAAGGTATTTTACCATGTTCACATAATTTTTTTCCTAATTTTGGGAAAAATTCTTCCAACTTCTTTGAGCTTTACCTCTGAGGGCAACCACAGTTAATGTCTATTCCATTTGCGTAAGGACATACTACACGAGCAGCATCAGATAAAAGTCTTGCATCATTAGCAGCAAACTGAACAATCAATGGACAATCACCTGACAAAAAGAATAGCTAAACATTAAAATTCACAGAAGAAAAAAAGCCACATACACGATAACAAATTCTGAGTTCTATCCAGATTAAATGACAACCTTTTTTAGCATAAAAGAATCTGTTAAAATAAGGTAAAATTTAAAATGTTTAAATATCTTAAATTAAAAGCAAATTGCACTAAAGTAAAAATTAGTACAAAATTTGATAAAGCGAAAAATAAGTTTTCTAATACTCTTGCCAGACTTCCTTCCCAAAGGCTAAAATTAGTTTACTGTGTTCCTGAACCGTTTTACATATATCTGTAAAATTTAAACAATGTGAATGTTCTAGATATCACAAAACTAACTACGCATTTTTTTTTTTAAGGTTTTTGCCATGGGGAGATAGAGGGCAAGGGGTGGCCATGACACAATCCCTTCTTTTTCTGGGATTTTGGGCATACACACGTGCTAGGTGTGATTTTCAAGCCACCAGGTCTAGGACTTGAACTGCTTAGCATCTTAACCACCATACCACCTGTAGGGCCAATTGCTCTTTTATTCTTTCACTGACGTATCTGGGAGATGTAGAGCTGCGTTTATTTTTTTAGTGGCATGTTCCACCAAATGGGTTGACAAAATAGTGTATTTCTAGACTTTCTTTTTCAGCAATGTTTCTGAGTATATTCACAGGATAAACTCTGAATTATAATTGTTTAATAGGAATTTAACATTTGACTTTATGACAGACATTACAAATGATCTTTTAAGAGTTTACCAATAAACATACATATCAGTATGGATGAAAGTTCTTCTTTCCTCACAACTTATCCTATAGCATATATTTATACATGTAGGCTCTTTCTTCATAATCTTTGCACATTTGTTCTATGTGCAATTTTCTATTAGTTGTTCCTTTGTTAGTACTTGTAATTTCTTAAAACAAATTAACCCAGCTCTATCATGCTGTAAATATTTTTTAGCATTATTTTGTGTCTTTGAGGATATTTATGCTCTTACATAAAAAGTTTTAATTGTAAAATAGTCAAATGTACCAGAACTCTCTTAGGTTTTAAAGAATATATCTTCTTCTGTTCTTTGAGTTAGTGTTATAAAACTTGAATAGATGTATTTTACATTTCTAATTTTTTTTTTAATGATAGCATTTGCATGCGGGGGAGTAAGATGGAATGGGAGGAAGGGACCAAAACCCTGTAGTCTTGTCACACCTGTAGTCTACCTGTGGACTACAGTCCCCTTTCTCTAGCCTTTTAGGTTCTCTGGATCTTGGGTGCCTGGTGTGCTTTCAGCAATCTGAGTATCTGAACCCACAATATGCCATGTGGCTTCCAGTACTCCAGCCCAGTATGATATAGAACTACACCACTAGACTGGGCCTCTAAAGTTTTTTGGGGGACTACTGAGAGCCACCAGGTGTTGATCAACACGCAGATTTCTGGGCAAACCCCAGACACAGTGAATCTATGGCAAGCCACTGATTTAAAGAATTATAATGGGATAGGAGAATTTGCTTTTTCTTCGTGGGAATATTGAGAACATGTTCTTTTGTAAACTGAGAGTTACCTAATTTCAACTTAATAACCATTATTTATTAGTTTAATGTATTTTCAACACTGTGTTAGATGTTGAGGATATAAATCAAGGTATTTTTATAGCTCTAGGCTTCAAGAGGCCTATAATCTAATATAAGAGGTAAATATATATAAGACATTTTAAAAGAGTGGGATTAAATGCCACTTAAAAGCCCATGTTTATGCGGGAAGACAGGAGTGAAGGGTGATCAGGAATGGTTCCTTGGCCATAAACTTTGAGAACTGAATAGGGAAACATGAATTGCCAAAGAGAGGAGGAGACAGGCATGATTGAGAAAAATATTGTACGTAGAGAAACATGCGAGAATAAGGATTTAAAACAGGTTGTTATTTTAGAGGAGTAAAGTTGGTGGGCTGTGCAGACAAAGTGATAGAAGATAAGGCTGCCCAGAGCAGATGTATTCAAAGGCAAGCTCATGAAAGACTTTGTAGATTAGCCTCAGGTATTGGAATGTTACTGTTAGAGGCAGTAGTTTTCAACCTTTAGCAAGCTCAGAATTACCTGCAGGGCATTTCAACACACATTTTGCAGGCCCACAAAAGTTTTTTGACTCAATAGGCTTGGGATAGAATGTGAGAACTTCAGTAGGTCTAGGGTGGAACGAGAGAATTTTCATTTCCAAAAAGTTTACAGATGCTACTGGTCTGAGAACACTGAGAATCACTGTTTCAGGCAATGAGAGGTCCAAGAAGAATTTCAAGCAGTAAAGAGACACAACTGAATTTATATTTTTAGATAGGTGTTTTGGGTGTTTTGGGCCATTTGGAGGATAGTTTTAACAAAGTCAGAGGCAGTGAGATATAGGAATCTATTCTAATAGTCTGGGTGAAAAGATGAAGACTTAAGATAGGCTGATCTTACCCTCTGATATACCACTGATAGTTTATAAGACACTCAAAAATAATATTAAAAACATTTTAAAAGCAAAAAGATTTTAATTAAAAAACTGAATTGTGTTGTCTCTGATATAACATAGTTGAGCATATAAAATTTTTTTTTCAAGTTTTATAAAATTAGTAAACTGGGTTTTACATACCTTGATTTGTGGTAAATTCACTGTCTCTGGCTTTTATAGATCTGACAAAATCAGCAGCAACTATCATTGGCGTATAACATAGATCGCAACTGTATTTTCTTACTAGTGTTCTAAAAGCCAACCTGTGAGCATAAAAAACTTTATGCATTTAGAAAACACCATAATCACATGTACCTCCAAATTTAATTTACTTATTTTATATGTGCACGTACACACGTTTATTTTTTTCAATATTATTTAATATTATTTTATTTTATTATTTTTTTTGAATAAATTTTTTGCTATAGGGTGTGTGTGCTTGCCACACAGAGAGAGACAGAGAGACAGAAAGCGAGAAATCGCCCCTTGGGGGGATGGCCACGCTGCAATCCCTTCTCCTCCATTGTCCTCTCGGGATCTTGGGCACGCATGCACACGCGCCCGGCATGAGTTTTAAGCCACTGGGTCTGGGACGTGAACCGCGGTCGACTACATGGGAGCCCAACGACATAGCCGTTACGCTAACTACTGGTCCCTAATATTATTTTTATGTATTGTTATTCTTCAATTTGTCCAAGAGACAAAGAGAGACAAAGGGAGAATGAGAAAGCAAGCCACCAGGTCCGAGGATCAAACCATGGCCAACCACGTGGGAGTCTAGCGCCCCAACCTGCTGGTCCCAACACACAGGTTTATTTCTTCCACAAGGAAGGGGAGGTAAGAGGCAGGGAGGGAGAGGGAGTAGATTGAGTGAGCGAGTAAGAGCAAGCACACCTCCAACAGCATCTTAATGCAGTCATTTGGGGCCACTTCAGTCAGCCCTGGATCATGGGCAGGCATGTGTCTGACTAACACAGGGAGGTGTCTACACATGAATTTGGAACATTGCCAAGTAGGTCAGCCTTACAAGCATTGTATTTTACTGTTGTGCCACTATCCGCCCCCCAATTATTACTATTATTATTATTTTTAGATTGATTGATTGAAATTTGACCAGAGAGAGACAGAACGAGAGAATGAAAGAGAGAAAAAAGGAGAATGTGAGAAAGCAAGCCTCCAGGTCCCGGACTTGAACCATGGTCAGCCATGTGGGAATCTAGCACCTTAACCACTACACCACCTGCCGGGTGCTTGGACCACAATTATTAAGTATGTATTAGGACAGTTCTGCCTAAGGGAAGATGGACTATACTACCTTCCTCTATTCTTCTTGCTAAGCAAAGCTAAAATCCCTGGGTATTATACATAAAACAAACATAAGAAAATTCGAAAGGTAGAGAGAAGGCAGACAGGCTATGACCTTGAGACTAAAGAAATGACTACAGGAATGACATCCACTGTGGTGGTGAGTGAGAAGACGAAGCAGGGATCTAGGATTTTCATCCTTGCTGGCCAGTGAGGACCCCCTCTCCCAGTGATGGTATCAGTGGGAACACATGGGGAGCATGAACTTCCATACCTACTCCGCAGTAGCAAAGCATTCCTCTCCCTCCTTGCGGGGTGTGATGTCAAAAAGCCTAGTGGGGAACCAGGAATTGCATTTTTACCCAGGAGTTATAAGGCCACTCCCACCGTGGTGTGGTGGAACTCTCACTCCTGCCCCTGTGACCCCCAAACTGCAGACATCAAAGGAAGCCAAGGGGAGAGCTTGGATGTCTGCTTCTACCTGACAGTAATGAGGTGGTATCACTCTATTCTCCTTCCCCACTCCATTGCCTAGCTGTCCAGTGTCAAAAGAAGCCTGTTAAAACAGCCAGTTCAATAACTGAAATCAATTAATGTATTTTACCATACTAACAGGTTAAAGAAGAAAAACACCACCGTATTAATCAATGCAGAAAAAGCATCTGATGGGCCAGTAGGTGGTGGTGTGGCCGTTAAGGGAGCTAGCGCTCACGTGGCCAACTGTGTAGTTTTATTCCTGGGCTGGTAGCTTAAAAAACACATTGGGTGAGTGTGCATGTGTGCCCAAAATCCTGAAAGGTGGAGACCAGAGAAGGGACTATGAGTGACCGTCCCCTAAGGGGCAGAGCTTTTTCACACTACCCTTGCCTCTTTCCTCAAACTACCAGGAAAATAGGAATAGAGCAGAACTTCCTCAATTTGATGAAGAGCAACCATATACACAAAAAATCCTACCATACTCAAGACTGCTTAGTTATTGATAGAGGGACAGACATATAGGTCAACAGAACAAAACAGAAAATTCTGGGGGCCAGCTAGTGGCACAGTGGTTAAGACTCTGGACCCCCACATGGCCAACTGAGGTTTGAGTCTCGGAGCTGGCTGCTTGCTTTCTCCCTTTCGCTCTTTCTCTTTTCAGATTAAAAAATAATTAATAAAATTAAAAAGATAAAAAAAAATCCTTAAAAAAACAGAAAATCTTGATTTTTGACAAAGCAAAAGTAATTCAATAGAGGAAAGACAGTCTTTTCAATAAATGGTGGTAAAATAACTGGACATCCATAGGCAAAGTATAATGAACATCAATTTAAGTCTCACACGAATACAAAAATTAATTCAAAATGTATAGACTTAAGATATACAAATGGCCAATAAGTACATAAAAAGATGCTCAACATTACTCATTAGATAAAAGCAAATCAAAACACAACGTGTTATTACTTCACACCTATTATGATAGATACATTGAAAAGAAACCCAGAAAATAACTGACACTGGCAAGGTTGGAGAAAAAGTGGAACTCCTGTGTACTGCTGGTGGGATAATAAAATAGTGCAGCCAGTATGAAAAACAATATAGCAGTTTCTCAAAATATTAAACATAGAATCACCATGATTCAACACTTCTTGGTATATAGCCAAAAAGAATCGAAAACAGAGCCTCAAAGAGACATTTGTATACTCATGTTCATTACAGCATTATTTATGATAGCCAAAAGATGGACATGTCATATATCCATGAATGGATTAAAAGATAAACAAAATATAGTATAAACACAAAATGGTTTATTATTCACCCTTAAAGGGAGCTCATCTGAGGTGGTGCAGGTGGTAGGGTGGCACTGTGTAATACTGGAGCTACATAGGATAAGGCTCTGGGTTGGGATCCTGGGTTGACCAGACCATGCCAGCTGTCTAGGATCCTGGCTGGCTAGAAGGCTGGGGAAGACCATGGTATGGCAAGACCTTGTCAAAGGCACTTCTCTCTCTCATGAAATAAACTTTAAAACAAAAGGGAGAGAAAATCAGAAATATGCTACAACACGGATGCATCTTGAGGACATACTGAATGAAATTAATCACTCCAAGAAGACATACAATGCATGTTTCCATTTACATGAAGTCCCATAGAGAAGGGGCCAGGGTGGGGGAAGAGGGAAATGGGGAATTACTCTTTAACAGATACAGAGTTTCAGTTCTGTAAGATAAAAAAGAGTTTAAAGATGAAATGTGCAACAATGTGAATATATTTAACAGTATTGAATCCTGTACCTAAATATAACTAAACAAACTTTATTGTGTGTATGTTTTACAACAAAAACTTAAAAAACTCAATACTAAAAAAACCAAACAACCCAATTAGAATAGGGGCAAGAGAATGACAAAAATATACAGCTAGTGGGGCCAGCGGATGGTGTAGTGGTTACACTGTTGGAACTCCCACATGGCTGACTCAGGTTGAGTCTTGGACCCAGTGGCTTGAAACTCACATCGGGTGTTTGTGTGTGCGTGCCCAAGATTCTGGAGAGAAAAGAGGAGAAGAGACTGAAGATGGCCACCCCTGAGGGGGGGTGGGGGGGTGGTGATTTGTACTTTCCCTCTCACTGTCTCTCTTTCTTTCTCTCCAGTGAGCATACATGCCCTAAGGCAAAATCTCTTAAAAAAAATAAAAGATAGCAAATTAAGCATTAGAAAAAATGTTCAATATTATTAGCCATAAAGGACATGCAAATGCAAATTAAAGCCACAATGAAATGTCACTCTACACAACTACCAGTACAGCCAATACTTTTTTAAAAAATGGTATTATCTAAAGTTGGTAACAATGAAAAGAAACTGGATCCCTCAAATGTTGCTGGTGAAATGCAAAATGGTACTGCTATTCTGAAAAAGCCCAGCAGTTAAATAAAAAACTAAGCATACAACTACCATATGACCTAGCAACTGATCTCCTCGGTGTTTGTCCTAAGACTTACATTCACACAAAAACTTGTCCATAAATACTTATATCCATTTAATATGTATTATATCCTTAGAAATGGGAATTACATCCTTGTCATTTTTATAAATACACTGAAGTTTTCTCATATTGTCTACTCATGGTCACCGTATCAGAAAATGGGAACACTTGGACTCAATTCTACAATAGATTATGAATCCCGAGCTAGGAGTTTATGGATCCCATGTAATGGGTAGTCTTACTGTACTTAAAAATATCAGAGCATAAAAGAGAAGTCACATCTTAGTTCTTTAACCATTCAATGAAACTTACTTTGAATACCGAACCATGGGGGCACAGACTTTTACCAGCTGTCCAGAATGAAACATTTCTATAGGATCTTTTCTTCTTTCTTGACATACTGTGGTTTGTATAGAGTCGCTCTTCATGAATACAGATTTGTTTCAAACCTGCAAAAGACAGTGTGCACTGAGAAAATATACTTGCACTGGATGGATTCCCATCATTTGAACGATTCTTATTGCCAGCGATTTATATTTTTCATAAGGCTTGTGGGCTCAGAAAAATTTTAGCTAAAAAATTCTGCCTTTATTTACAAGATAAATAAATGTGGAAACTATACAAGATAGTAGTGGACAAACAAGATGTGGACAACCACAAGATTTTTTCCTAGTATACCGTGTTATGCTTTTCCATGTTACCTTCTAATTTTTTCTATGTCACGTTGTTCAGCATTGATAACCAAGGCACTTTATTTCACATACATATTATATGTATTCGGATAATAGTGTACACGACTAGTATTTTGAAATATCTTGTGTCATTCAGGAGTTAAAAAGCATTAAAGAACTCTAAGCAGTCAGCATTTCAGAAACTATCCTGGTATTTATATTTTATTTTTCAAATCCTGTATTTGTGAATCAGAATATAAACTTACCTTGATTATTTTAAAAAATTGTTATGTGGCATTATCTGGTGGAATTGTCAATTATAATCATATAATTGCATAGTAAATACCCTCAGCATCACAACTGATGAAGTTATATAGTTCTTAAGTGTTTGATGTCTGTTATGCTCAAATTCTATCATTTTATAGTGTGGCTGATTTTCATGTTCTAATTTTGGGCTTTAATTTAGAAATAGGATATGAGCCAAATTTAGAAAAAGTATAATTACTCCAAAGTGAATCTCTAATCTTTAGGTAAAAAATTGAAACTAAACAGAAGATCAAGGTACTTAAGGATGACCTATCTTCTAAGAAATCTTTGGATGTACCCACATGTAAGTAACAAAGGGGGAGAGCAAAGGATAGGAGGAACTGGGTCCCTCATATGCTGCCGGTGAAATGTAAAATGATAGATGACGGACTGAAAAGTGTCCCTGTGGGAACCAGCAGTTAGCGTAATGGCTATGTCGCTGGACTCCCACATAGTCGACGTGGTTCGTGTCCCAGACCCGGTGACTTAAAACTCACGCTGGCCGCGTGTGCATGTGTGCCCAAGATCCTGAGAGGAGAATGGAGGAGAAGGGATTGCGGCGTGACCATCCCCCCTGGGGGGTGATTTCTCACTTTCTGTCTCTATGTCTCTCTCTGTCTGTCTGGCGAGCGCACGCACCCTATAGCAAAAACCTCTGCAAAAAAAAAAAAAAAAAAAAAGTGGCCATATCCTTACCTTACCATATCCTACCTGATCAAGTGTCCATGCAAGGATTTTACTAATAACTTTAGCAAGAATGATTTCATTGTTACTCAGTCATTATAAATGGCACAAAGGCTCCTCAACTTGTATTCAGCGAATGATAAATCAGTAGTACCTTTTAACCTTGGTTGTACTTTAGAATGACCCAGGGGCCTTTTTAAAAAAAATTATATAACTTGGGAACCAGCAGTTAGCGTAATGGCTATGTCGCTGGACTCCCACGTAGTCGACCGCGGTTCGCGTCCCGGACCCAATGGCTTAGAACTCACGCCGGGCGTGTGTGCGTGCATGCCCAAGATCCCGAGAGGAGAATGGAAGAGAAGGGATTGCGGCGTGACCATCCCCCCTGGGGGGTGATTTCTCGCTTTCTGTCTCTATGTCTCTCTCTGTCTGTCTGGCGAGCACATGTGCCCTATAGCAAAAACCTCTCCAAAAAAAAATATATATGTAACTTTACTTATTTATTTTAATTTGAACAGAGAGAGAGGGAGGAAGTGGAGAGAAGGAGGGAGGGAGGGAGGGAGAGAGAGAGAGAAAGAAAGCCACTAAGTATGGGACTTGAACTGGTCAGCCATGAGGGAATCCAGCACCCTTGGTCACCACACTACCTACTGGCCCCATGGCCAGGAGCTTTTAAGATAGAATACTCAAGACATACCTCAGACCAATTAAATCCAAATCTTTGAGTTTAGGATGCAGACACTTAGGATACAGGTTTGGTTGATGTCGTTTGTTTTTTTTCTTCTTCTCCTCTTGGGATTTTTATGGCACACATGCCTGGCATGTTTTAAACCACTAGGTCTGGGACTCGAACCATAGTCAACTGTGTGGGAGTCCAGCAACTCAACCATTACATTATCTGCTGGTTCCGTCTTTTTTTTTTTTTTTTTTTTTAAGACAAAGTTCCTCCTATCATGATCCTCCTGCCTCAGTTTCTTAAGCAGCTCGGACCACAGGTGTGCATCAGCATATCCATCTCATCAGTTTTTTTTTTTTTTCTTCCCTCTCAGGAAGGAGAGATACCCTTGAAGTTTCTCCACTCAATACTCCTAGCCAGCTAGAATCACAGGTCCAGGTGCACCAGGCACTTTCAAGTCTACACAGAGTTGGATACTGGTCTTCTCTGTGACTCCAATATTGGGCAGTAGATCCCTACCACCTGTGCCACTGTGGCGTGGGCCAGCATCAGTGTGTTCCTAAAGTTTTCCAGGCGATTTTGATGTATAGCTAAGCTCGGAACTACTGAAGTAAGTAAATCATACACTCCACTGTACCTAATACAAGTGTTTAACTGGATTTTTCCTGACCTATTAGTTCCTTTAGGGTTTGGATTAATTAATTGAATCTTATGATTGTAAACTCATATTGGTATACATAGAGGGACTCAAAACTTTTCACTGTATGACTATTATGCACTTCTCTAAAGTCTTCCAATGTAAAAAACAAAAACAAAAGAAAACAGGCAAGAAAGGGAAAGTACACTTCACAGATAAGGCTATTCATTATTAATAAATAAGAGTTATAAAAAAATTAGTTTTGTGTATTATGGATAATGAAATCTAATATCAGTTTGAGCACATTGCTTCTGGCAATTCAGGTTCCATTCATTATCATGATTACGATTAAATCGTATTAGTAAAACCTAAGACAAAAAGAAACCATAACATGGGACCAGAAGACAGCGTAATGGTTATATTGCTGAACTCCCACATAGTTGACTGAGGTTGGAGTCCCTGACCAGGTGGCTTAAAACTCACACCAAGAGCATGTGCAGCGAGGGCATACACCCTATAGCAAAAATCCCCCACCTCCCCCCCAAAAAAGCATAATGCAGTTAAACATCAGACTTGCTCAAGTGAGTTATGCACATTAAACAAACTGAGCACAAGGTAAGTGCTCATTACTACAGCACTTTATAAAAGAATTATTTATTTCATCTTATTTATTATTATTATTTTTAAATCTGCTATAGGGCACATGTGCTCACCAGAGACAGGCGACACAGAGGTAAAGTGAGAATGCAAGAGGCCAGGTCCAGGACTCCCAACTAAGTCAACATAGAAGTCCGGAACCTTAACGATTGCACCACCTGCTGGTTGCATTACAGCGTCTTAAAATACTAGCAGAAAGTAGGGAACAATGTAGGTCTAGAATTGGAAAAAATTGGTTCTTTCCATACACATGTATTATAAAAAATTGAAGTTCTAGGAGTCAGCAGGTGGCATGGTAGTTAAGACCTCAGCTGGAGTCAAGGACTTGGCGGCTTTGGGCTTGCTTTTACTTCCTCTCTCTCTTGCCTGTGAGAATATGTGCTTTATAGCAAATGTTAAAATAATAATGACAAGTAAAATCAAATAAATAATCATTTAAATAAAAGTTCTATTACAGCTTATTTCTTTTTCTTTTTACAAAGAAATGTTAAAGACTTTGCATATGTGTGGTTGTCCCCATTGATTTATCAGTATTTATCCTGAAAGAAATAAGTTCAATAATGCAGATGTGTTAGGAGAGAAGATACAATGGCAACTAACCTGATAGTTTTATAGCGATGATACTGTTACTTGAGACATGGACAAGCCATCAGTTTCTAACAAAGTTTGGCATCACTCATGGCTCGTGGCTTATACTGAAAGAGGTAGAAAGAGCACAACGTCAAGGTCTCATGGGAGGAAGGGCAAAAAGTGAGTCCCACTTGTTTTTTCTTGGTTCAGTCTTAAAAGACATTTCCTAATTCTTACTGTTAGCGCCCTGGAAACTTTTCTTCCCGTTTTTCCCGCCTGCTTTTTACCCAGTATTGCCAATCAAGGCGTGAGGCAGATAAGGCTGGTGGCAACTAACTCCCATCGGTGGTGAGAAGTGGATCTCAGGCGATGGTCTCAGAACACTCTTTTCTTCCTCGTGCCTGCGCCGAAAAAGCCTCAGTTGTAAGGTTTAATGCTTGCTTTAGAGAGAAGCGCTGCGGCCACGTTCCGGCGCCCACCTTATGCTCAACCCTCGAAATGGCGCCAGCCCCGGGGGCGCGGCTCCAAGCTGCGGTGGGAGACGGAGGGAAGCGCCCGTCGGGTGGCCTTGGCTTTCGGGTCACAGGGCCCTGGGCTCGGACCTTTCGGAGCCCGCCGGTTCCGGTACCCACGCTGATCCCGCCAAGCAGGGGCGAACCAGGTAGCAGAAACTCCCCAACAAGCGATCTGGGAGCCGCGAACTGGCGTGGCTGGCGGCGCCGGAATTCTGCGTCACGACCTGGGCGTGGCGACCTGTCGCTGACGCCATCAGCCCGGCACCTGCCAACATGGAAGGGGGGGGCGGGGGGGGCGGGCCTTGGCGCTCTGGGCTCTGGAGCGGCTGCAGCGACAGTCCGAGAGCTTCTGCAGGACGGTAAGGAGTCGAGGTCTGGCCAGATCGTGGGACTGGGGGACTGACTCGCTCCGCGACCTGAGCCGCGGTGGTGGACTCAACCCATCGATTTGCAGAAAGTTTTCCGGTCTCAAAAATGACCACTCCCCTCAGCTCGGCCCCCTGGCATTTCGGTGCTGGTTTAGCCCAACCTGTTTCCGTGGGGATTTGCTCCCCTCTTTCTTTCCGTGTCTCGGACACCTAGATTCTGGTTGCACCAGGTTTCTGGTTGCACCTGGGGCTTTCCTGAAGTTCGGGACCCCGCACCTGGTTGCTCTCGTTGGTAGTAACGGGCCGCTGACACAGTACTTGACGAAAGGGTGAATGAGGCTTTCGAGTCCGGTAAAAGTGTACCTAGAACAGATGACAATGGTAGAGGGGCCCCCTTTTGAGTGGAGTTGGACACACCCCCCTCCTTTAGCAAATTCTTGTATTATAAGGCCCTTGTTACAGGCCTTTTTTTCTTAATGAGGCAGTTACAATCTGACATGGGGAGGGTTCGTAGCATTTGTTCAGAGCTTAACCATTCGAATTAAATGTAGCAAATTTATTGATAGTTTTGGAGAGAAGTTGCCCAAAATAAGAGAGTATGATACCCTTGAAAAGTACATTCAGTAATATTAATGTAGTGAAAATGCCCCAAATTACTTATCTTCAGAGGAAAATTCAAATGTCTAAGAATAAAAGTAAGGCCCTTTTCACCTGTTCTTAAATTTTCCATAACGACCACCACATTCTACCTTATAGTAAGATAATTTATATACTTGCCTTAATTTCTCTACTGTTTGTAAAACTCCTTTTGATATTCCAGCGTTAATAAATGATACTTTGCATGCGGTAGGTACAGAATGTTTTTTTAAAATTTGAACATCACTGTAAGAAGCATTTGCACACATTATAGACTCAAGTGTGTTATAAATGATTGAAATAAAGTTCTAAATTATTGTTTTCTGATTGTCGAATATTTCATTATTGTCCTTAATTGCTTGCTTTTTCATCATAATTTATTTACTCTTCTCAGAACTAAAGTTATCAGAACTAGATTGTATTAGATTCTCTAGGTTAAAGTCTCTGTCTACTGCATTTGTGAATCATAATTTAAATTCAAGCAAAATTTGAGCTCCTTATATATGTACAATTCCCACTTTCGAGATGCTCACCATGTAGTAGAGAAGATAATCTTGTAGACCTATAAAAGTAAGCACTGTTGTAAGGGTACTAGGAGGATTGCGTGCAGAGTAAAACATCAGTACAAAAGAGTATGAGAACTGTATCTTAGGAACTGATTAGGGAATGTTAAAAAAGGCTTTCTAGGGGCCAGCAGGTGGTAAAGTGGTTAGGGTGCTGGTCTTTCTCATAGTCAGCTGTAGTTTGAGTCCCATACCTGCTGGCTTGAAAATCCTTTCAGGAGTGTGTGTGTGTGTGTGTGTGTGTGTGTGTGTGAATGTCCAGGATTCTGAGAGGTGAAGGGAATTGTGGCATAGCCATCTCCTCTGGGGGATAATTTCTCACTTCCCCTCAAAAACCAAACCAAACCAAAACAAAACAACTTTCTAAGTGAAGTGGTTTTCAAGTATAAATAAGACTTCCCTAGGTGAACTAGTGGAAGGAACAAGACAACTAATAGACACGTTTCAGAATGTTGGGTTGCAGGAACTGCAATTAGTTTTTTGCAGAGCAAATAGTTTTCATGTATAGTCCTGTTTAGTTCTCTTTACCATTGTTCACAGTAATTATTTCCATTTTTTTGAGAGATTTTTCTATAGAGTGGGTGCACATGTGGGAGAGACTGAAAGCAAGAGATCATCCCCCCAGGGGGGATGGCCACACTGCAGTCCCTTCTCTTCTATTTTCCTCTTGGGATTTTGGGCATGCACAAATGCATGCCTGGTGTGAGTTTCAAGCCTCCATGTCTGGGAATCAAACCATGACTGATCACCTGAGAATCCAGCACCTCAACCACTATGCCACCTGCAAGCCCCAATTATTTGACTCTTTACTCTTTTCAGAACTTTCTCTTCAAATTCAACAAATAACCTTTAACTTCCCTGAAAAAAATAGAATCAACTCGATGTGAACTTCATTTCTTGCCATTCATTCCATTAGGAATTGTCCTTGAGTTTTCTCTCCCTAAGCACCCATCTGCAGCTTGTCACTAAGTCCTATACATCATGCTCTCTGAATATCCATCCGATTTGTCACTTCTTTTACATTCTTAGTCAAGGTAAATGGGCACTGTCTTATTCAGGCCTTTATTATATAACCAGTCTATTAATGTAGTGCTTTTCTGGCCTCTTAGCCACCATGAGTGTGCTAATAAACTTTGATACTTTAGTGTTTGCCGATTTGGGTGGTGTAAATACTTCAAGGTTCCTACATGTGATATCTACTGACTCATAAAATTCCTGAAAACGTTGTAGTTAGCCCTCAAGAGCCAATACTGCCAACTCCAGCACACCACTTTGTGATGGATGCCTTTGCAATGATCTTCCATACCACTGCTAGAATTATTGTCTGGAACACAAAGCTGATAGTGCTTTTTCACCTTTTCAAAACCATGAAAGGGATATAGTTTTCACATTTTACAAACTGCCTACCAAACTTCCATTGGAACTTCATCTGTCATTCTTTATCCTTTCTGTACAACACACACACTTCTTGATCTAGATATGCTGAAGTCATTATTCCTCTTATTTATCAAAATGTGCCATGACATTTGTTTCTGCTCAACCTTCTCTTTGCTTGGGGTGGCTTTCTCCATTTATGCGCTTCACAGAACCTTTAATTCTGAGAACCACTGGGTAAACTCAAAGGAAGTTTGGTCTCAGAATTAAGACCAAAAACAGTTTTCTTCTTTCTCTTGACTACTCTTATACATATAAGTAGTCAAGAATATCAGTTTTTCCTTTTAGCAGATGATACTTTCATATTGATTAATCCACTCACTCAACCAATATTGAAAGCCTGCATGTTCAGGTAGTATTCAGGTCCTGGGGATGTAGTAGTAAACAAAACAAAGATCTTACTCTGATGAAGTATATATTTTAGTGGGTGTCTGCCACTGAAATTTTCCTGTGAGTACTCTATTTTGCTTGTTAGTGTAGTAATCTCTTTCAAGGCATCCTTATGTATATTTACCATCTGGTTCGGAGGTTGTGGTATATACTTCCCTTGAGTTCACTTTTGTATGTATATTTTAACGTTTAATTCTCTATTTTTATCACCCACAAATGTATGAATATCTGTATAGAAAGATATCTTCTCAACATCTAACATCATTTCTTTTTCTTCATTAAGAATCTATTTTGAATAGTTTTTTCTTTCTATTTATTATTTCACTCATGAGTCCTGAATTTCCATAATAACTTTAAGTTTGTATTTGTCTATTTCTATTAATACTCCAGATTCACTTTCATTATAATAGTATTTGTGCATTGAGAGCTATCTGAGGTTATAATATTATATATAACCAGTATCTATGAATATATATATATATTCATATATTCATATATATATATGAATGCTATCTTCTAACTGGCAATGACCTTGTTTTCATGAATTAAAGGGTAAAGTTAGTATTGATAGTTGTTTTAATCTTTTACTCACTATTTTCCTTCCTCTGATTCATTATAAAAGTAAACATTTAACAGTATAGCAGAGTGGTTCAGAGGGTGGGCTCAGCAGCTAGACTTTGTGGGTTAAAATTCCAGACAGTGACATTGGACAAATTCCATGTCTTGTCTTTGCCTGTCTCCTCATATTTGAAATGGGGAACTATGATAGTCTCAGAGAGGTGGAATTAATAATGAGGGGACTTCAAAAAGTTTGTAGAAAAATAGAATCAAAGTACAAGCTATTTTGGTACAAAAGAGTTTTGAAATTGCATAGTTCTCGTGTATGTGAGTTGCTTGCTTAGATCAGTGCCTGGCACGTAGTTAGCACTCATGAGTATTGCCATTTCTCTTTTGCACTTGCTTGTTCCACGTCCTCCTCATTATTATAGGACGTGTTTACATGGAAGTAGGCTTGAGTTCTTTTCTTTTCTTGTAGTCTGTTGTTGAAACTCTTTTCAGTGAAAATATAGTTCCGATTGTATAGGAAGACCTCAAAATATGTAATGACATAATTGTTCTGTTTTTAAATAGCTATGGTTCAATGCAAGGCAATTAAGGACTTTTCTGTTGTTTTTTTATTTTTCCTCCAGAGTGTTATAGTGACTTTTTAAATGAGGACTTTGATGTAAAGACTTATACTTCCCAATCTATTCATCAAGCAGTGATTGCTGAACAACTAGCAAAACTTGCCCAAGGAATCAGTCAGTTGGATAAAGAACTACACTTACAGGTAATTTTAGTCTTTTGTATTATACAGAGTACTCAGTATAAAGTGATAATTTAGCATTTTTGGAATGTATTTTTATTTATTTATTTATTTTGTTCTACAACACATTTACTTGATGGAGAGAGACAGGGACAGAGAGAGGAAAAATGAAAAAGCACTCCCTAGAGGGCATAGCCAGGCCGCAACTCCTCCTCCGCTCTCCTTTGGGATTTTGGGCACTCACATACACCTGCCCTGTGTATTTTTTAAGCTGCTGGGCCCAGGACTTGAATTATAAATGTGTGTATGTGTTCTTGGTAGTAACTCATTTCAAACACATCTTCATAAGTTTTACCTTTTTCTTTCTTATCTGTACTTGCCCTCTTTACATATCAAGAGGGATGTTGAATTCTACTTTTTGTTACAAAGAAAAATACATGGTACCTAATTAGAACAAACGATGATTATTCATTCTTGATTTTTCAGGTTGTTGCAAGACATGAAGATTTACTGGCACAAGCAACTGGAATTGAGTCTTTGGAAGGTATGTTTGTTTGTTTCTTTCTTATTTATTATTTGGAAGGTATGTTTTTATTAACTATTACAGATTCTGTAGCACTAGATCAGGGATTAGCAAGATTTTTCTGTTTGTGGTTGGATAATATGTTAGACTTTGCTAGCCAGTCTCTACAGTAGTTACTAAACTCTGCTGTTATAGAGTGACAGCAGCCAAATAACATGTAAATGAGTGTGTCTGACTGTGCTCCAGTAAAAGTTTAATAAAGCTTTGCCAACTGCTGATCTAATCTCTGGGTTCAGATCCTTGCTTTACTACTTATTAGGTGTGTACCTCAGTTCCCTGTGTATAAAACAGAGATATCAATAAATATTAACAGCATTAGTCTTAAGATTAAACATGTGAGTAGAATTCTTAGAACAATACAATATTGGGATCAGCAGTTAGCGTAATGGCTATGTTGCTGGACTCCCACATAGTCAACTGCAGTTCGAGTCCTGGACCCGGTGGCTTAAACTCACGCCGGGTGCGTGCGCGTGCGTGCCCAAGATCCCTAGAGGAGAAGGGATTGTGGTGTGGCCATCCCCCCTGGGGAGTGATTTCTTACTTTCTGTCTCACTGTCTCTCTCTGTCTGTCTGGCAAGCACACACGCCCTATAGTAAAAACCTCTCCAAGAAAAAAAAAAGAACGATACAATATTTAATGCTCATATATATGTTAATTAAACAATAGAAACATCAACAGCACTACAGAGGGTAGTCATGGAAATAGGCTTGAGTTCTTTTATTGTTTTGTGTTTTGTGTAGTCTGTTGTTGAAACTCTTTTCAGTGAAAATATAGTAAAAATAATAGTATGTTAGATTTTTGCTTTTATAAATCTCCTTTTTTGGCTCTTTTGTGAATTTGTCATGCTCTCTTCATTTTTTTTTTTTTTGGAGAGATTTTCGCTATAGGGCGTGTGCGCTCACCAGACAGACAGAGAGAGACATAGAGACAGAAAGCAAGAAATCACCCCCCAGGGGGGATGGTCACGCCGTAATCCCTTCTCCTCCATTCTCCTCTTGGGATCTTGGGCACGCACGCACATGTGCCCAGCGTGAGTTTTAAGCCACCGGGTCCGGGACGCGAACCACAGTCAACTACATGGGAGTCCAGCGACATAGCCATTATGCTAACTGCTGGTTCCCATGCTCTCTTCATTAAATATGAAATGTTACTGTGTTGTATATTATTACTTGTTTTGTGATTACTATTAATCATTGCACATCAAAAGAATAAGTAATTTTTCCTATGTTGATTCAATTCTTAAGGAGAGAAAATATTGTGTGTTTGTGTGTGTGTGTATGTGTGTGTGTACAATATCCTTTAATGCTTCCTTTAGCATCAACATTTTTTTTTTCTTTGAGATTTTTGCTATAGGGCATGTGCACTCACCAGAGAGACAGAGAGAGATAAAAAGCAAAAAATCATCCCCCCCGGGGGGGGATGGCCAGCTGCAATTTCTTCTCCTCATGGGATTTTGGGCACGTGTGCGCACACACGTGCCCGCCATGAGTTTTAAGCCATTGGGTCTGAGACTCAAACTGTGGTCGACTACATGAAGTCCAGTGACATAACCATTACACCATCTACTGGCCCCTAGTATCCCCCTAGTTATAGTCTGGTGGGAGAGTAAAACATTAAACAGGTACTTAAGTGGCTGTGTAATTACCTAAAAAGTGGCATAAAGTATAAGTATAGTGAAGAGAATCTAAGGTAGTTGGACGAAATCTGTTGATATTTGTTTCAGCTAATAAGACAAGGCTCAAAGGAATAGAAGTTTATCCTGTAAAAGCCTGGACGTAGAGTTGAGGGTAGGATGGAATATAGCAGGCCGAAGGTGACCATCTCCAGATCATGCAGGGTCTTGCCGACCAGGCTGTGAAGTGTAGTTTTCATAGAGAAGCAAAGGGAAGACCATAGAAATGTTTTAAGCAGAGAAATGGTATGATGTAATTTGAGCTTTTGAAGATAATGCAGGCTTTCTTTTTTTGTGATTGTGGTTTAAAAAAAAAAAATCCTCATGATATAAAATTTACCATTATATGTTATTTAAAAAATTTTCTCCCTCCATTCTTTCCATGAGTGAGTAAGAGAGACAGAGAGAAAGAGAGACAGCAATACAGTACCCCCAGTACTTCGATCCAGCCCCAGCTAGCCCCAGTTTGTGGGAACAACATGTTTGAGTACTCTGCGAGGTCTCTGGATTAGAATCCAGGGCCCTTCTGTGTGGGTCGGACTCATAGAATGTCATGTTTTACCTTTGTACCACATCTGGCTCCCCATTTTAACTCTTATTTTATTTTTTATTTTTTTATTTTTTAGATTTTTGCTGTAAGGTACATGCACTCACCAGAGAGAGAGAGAGACAGAGAGGGAAAGGTGAGATATCATCTCCATACCCCCAGAAGGGAAGACCATGCAGCAATCCCTTCTCCTCTGTTCTCTTTCAGGATTTTGGGCATGCACATACAGATGCCCGAGTGTTTTCCAAGCTCCTGGGTCTGGGACTTGAACTATGGCATCAGATGTGTGGGATCCATAACTATCACACCATCTCCTCACCCTTATTTTAGCTTTTTTTTTTAGAGACATTTTTGCCTTAGCATGCACTCAGCAGAGAGAAAGACAGACAGACACAGTGATAGAGGAAGTGAGAGATCACCCTCCAGAGAGATGACCGCAATCTCTTCTCCATTCTCCTCCCAGGATCTTGGGCACACAGGCACACACGCCTGGTGTGATTTTCAAGCCACCAGTATGGGACTGTAATCACAGTCAGCCATGTGGGTGTCAGCAAATACACCATCTGCCGGTCCCTATTTTAACCATTTTTGAAGTATATAATTTAGTGACATTAAGTACATTGACAGCGTTGTACAACTATCACCACTACCTTCTAGTATGTTTTTGTCACTGTAAATAGAAATCCCCTACTCATTTAGTTGTCATTCCCCTTTCTCTTTTAGGCTTTTTTTTTTTTTTTTGAGAGGTTTTTGCTATAGGGCACCTGCGTTTGCCAGAAAGACAGAGAGAGACAGAGAGATAGAAAGCAAGATGTCACCCCCCCCGGGGGGATGGCCGCAATCCCTTCTCCATTCTCCTCTCGGGATCTTGGGCAAACATGCGCCTAGCGTGAGTTTAAGCCACTGGGTCCAGGACTCGAACCATGGTCTACTACATGGGAGTTCAGCGACATAGCCATTACACTAACTGCTGGTTCCTTAGGCTTTTTCTATAGGGCAAGAATTAAAGGAAAGGACTAGTTATAAACCTTTACAAGAGTGCTGGCAGAATGTATTGGTTGCTTGGATTAGAATGGCAGTAGAAAAGTTAAGATGAGGTGGCCAGATGGTGGCATAGTGGTTAAGGTGGCTGGATCCCACATGGCCGATTACATGAATCGAGTCCCAGACGGCTTGAGAAACACACCGAGTATGTGTATGTGTACTAAAAATCCCAAGAAGAAAATGGAGGAGAAAGGATGTGGTGTGGTCATCTCCCTGAGGGGTGATTTCTCACTTTCTCTTTGTCTCTGTCTCTCCATCTCTGGTGAGCATATGCACCCTATAGCAAAACTTTAAAAAAAGTTAAAATTATGTATGTATGTTTCATTGTAATGTAATATTTTACTCAGTTGAGTCCTTGTAAATTTGTAAACCAATATCATGTTGTTTTTCTAGGTGTTCTTCAGATGATGCAGACAAGAATTGGAGCTTTACAAGGAGCTGTTGATAGGTACTATTATCCATTTTATACACAGTTGGGGTGGAAATAATTTTTATCCATTGATTTTTTTAAAAAGAATTTTATTATTATTTTTAATTGTTATTTATTTATTCATTCATTCATTTAAATTTGACCAGAGAGAGAGAGAGAGAGAGAGAGAGAGGAAGTGAGAAAGCAAGCCACCAGGTACAGAACTCTAACTGTGGTTGGCCATGTGGGAGTATCCAGTGCCTTAACCACCATGCAACTGTTGGTCCCTATTATTATTATTTTTTTTTAATTTGCTCTTTTTTTTTTAAGAATTATTTAATTTTTATTTATTCATTCATTTATCTTAATTTGACCAGAGAGAGACTGAGAGAAAGAAAGAGAGAGAGAGAGAGAGAGAGAGAAGGAAAGCCGGAAATCAAGCCACCAGGTCCAGGACTCGAACTATGGTCTGCCATGTGGGAGTATTCAGCACCCTAACCACTATACCACCCGCTGGTCCCTTTAATTTGCTCTTTGAGAGAGAGAGGGAAAGTGAGAAAGCAAGCCATCAGGTCCAGGACTTAAACCGTGGTCAGCCATGTGTTAGTCCAGCATTCCAACCACCATGCCACCTGTAGGCCCTATATCCACTGATATTTCAGGAATGATTTTATTCTCACTACTTTTTTTTTTTTTTTTCCTTTAGAATGAAAGCAAAAATTGTTGAGCCTTATAACAAAATAGTAGCCCGTACTGCACAACTAGCAAGACTTCAGGTAGGTTCTCATTTTTATTTGTTTACATTTTATTATTCATGTTGTTTTTATAATTTGATAGACTTTAAGAGTACGAGTTCAGAAGAAATGAGAGATGGAGACAGAACATGAGACAAAAGGGGAAAACTACTAGAGCCTTCAAATAAGATAATAAGTTTATTTATTTTTTTTTAAAGGGAGATTTTTGCTATATGGCATGTATGCTCATTGTAGATGCAGACAGAAAGCAAGAAGTCACAACTTGGGGCGATGACCATGCTGCAATCCCTTCTTCTCCATTCTCCTCTCAGAATTTTGGGCACGCACACACATGCATGTGTGTTTTAAGGCTCAAGGTCTAGGGCTTGAACTATGGTCAACTACGTGGTAGTCTAGTGATGTAACTGCTATGCCATGTGCTGGTCTCAAAATAAGTTTTAAAATACAAATCTAAACTACTATTCAAGTGATTACTTTCACTCTTATTCGTGAAATAAATAATAATGCTCATTTATTAACTTATTTGTGTCTTCTTTAGTTTCTTTCATTAATGTTTTATAGTTTTACAATGAACAGATCTTTCATTCTTAAGTATTTTATCTTTTTCATAGCCGTTGTAAGTGGGGTTGTTTTCTTGATTTCTTTTACAGATAGTTTGTTGTTAGTATGTAAAAATACTACTGATTTTTGTATATGGATTTTTGTGTCCTGCAACTTGGCCAAATTCATTTATTCTAGTAGTTTTAAAAAATAATTATTTAATGTTATTTGTTCTTCTTCTTTTTTTTTTTTTTTTTAAATTTACTGTAGGGCACATGAAGGAGAGAGAGAGAAAGTAAGTGAGAAAGCAAGCTGCCAGGTCCAGGATTTCAACTGTAGCTGGCCATGTGGGAGTCCAGCACCTCATCCACCACACTACCTGCTCACCCCATTCTAATAGGTGTTTTTGGTAGAGTCTTTAGGTGTTTCTATGTAAATGACCCTGTTACCTGCAAACAGGAACCGTTTTACTTTCTAATTTGGATACCTTCTATGTCTCTCTTGCTTAATGTCTCTGACTAGGACTTCCAGTACTGTGTTGAATAGAAGTGGTGAGAGTAAGAATCCTTGTCTTATTCCTGACCTTGGAGGAAACGCTTTTATCTTTCCATCCCTAATTATGTTAGCTGTGGGCTTGTTGCATGTAGCCTTTTTTGTGTTGAGATATACATTCCTAATGTATCTTATTGAGAGTTTTGTCAGCAGCTCTGGGACTCGAACCACGGTCAGCCATGAAGGAGTCCAGCACCTTAACCATCATACCACCTGCCAACCCCCATGGGCTTTTCTTTGATGGGAGATTTTTTTATTACTCTCCCAAAATTCATACTCATTATTGGTCTCTTCAGATTTCTATTCATGATTCTGTGTATGTTTAGGAGTTTATCTGTTTTTCCTAAGTTATACAATTGTTGGCCCCTAACTGTTTATGGTAGTCTCTTATGGTCTTTTGTATTTCTGTGATACCAGTTATAATGTCTCTTCTTTCATTTTTTTTTTTTTTTCCTAAGAGAGATTTTTACTATAGAACATGTGCAATTGCTGGAGAGACAAGAGAGATAGAAATTGAGAAATCACCCCCCCCAGGGGGGATGGCCACACCACAATCCTGTTTCAATTCTCCTGTTGGGATCTTGGGCACACATGCGCATGTGCCCAGTGTGAGTTTCAAGTCTCTGGGTCTGAGACTCAAACTGTGGTTGGCCATGTGGGAGTCCAGTGACATAACCACCATGCCATTTGCTGGTCCCCATTTCTTTCATTTTTTTATTTTTAAGATTAATTTTATCTTATGAGTGAGAGACAGAGCTAGCATACCCAACAGAGTCTTGACACTGTGATCCATCTCTAGCTTCAGCCTGTGCCAGATCATGGGCATGTGCAAGCCTAGCATACATAGGGAGATCTCCAGATGTGATGTGGGACTTTCCTGTGGGGGTCAGCCTTGCAAAGTGTTGTATTATATCACTGTACGACTGTTTAGCCCCTTTCTTTTAATTCTGATCTTGAGTGTTCTTTTTTTTTCTTAATGTAGCTAAAGGTTTGTTGATTTTGTTTATTTCAGAAAGCCAAGTTTTTTCTTGATATTTTGCATTATTTTTTGTAGTCCCTGTTTAATTTACATCTATTATATCTTTAGTTTGTTCTCCTTTTCTAGTTCTTGAGGTTTAACATTAGATTGTTTATTTAAAATCTTCTGGTTTTTGTTTGTTTGTTTGTTTGTTTGTTTGTTTTTGGAGAGGCTTTTGCTATAGGGCATGTGCTCACCAGAAAGAGAGACAGAGAGACAGAAAACAAGAAATCACCCCCCAGGGGGATGGCCACACCATAGTCCCTTCTCCTCCATTCTCCTCTCTGGATCTTGGGCATGCACACACATGCGCCTGGCATGAGTTGAAGCCACTGGGTCCAAGACTTGAACTGCGGTCGACCACATGGGAGTCCAGCGACATAGCCATTACGCTAACTGATGGTCCTGAAATCTTCTGCTTTGATGCAGGCATTTATTGATGTAGGCATTTATTGATGTAAACTTCTCTTTTTAAACTTCATAATTTTTGAAGTATTGCGTGTCCATTTTTGTTTGTGTCGTGATGTTTTTTAATTTTTCTTTTTATTTTTTCTTTAACCAGTTGGCTAGTTAGGAACATGTTGTTTTAATTTTTATATATTGGTGAATTTTTCAAAATTCCTCCTGTTACTACTTCCTGGTGTTAATACCATTATGGTGGGAAAAATACTTGCTATTATTTCAGTCTTCTTAAATTTGTTAAATCTTGTTTTGTTGTCCTAAAATGATCTATTCTAGGGAATGTTTAGTATGCACATGAACAAAATGTGAATTTTGCCATTGGATGGAATTTATATATATCTCTGTTAGGTCCATTTGGCCTAGAATGTAGTTCAGGTCTGTTGTTTCCTTATTGATTTTCTGTCTGGACGATCTGTCTATTACAGAAAGGGAGTACTGAAGTTTCCTCCTATTATTACAGTTTGAGCATCTAAAGTAAAAATCCATAACTTGAAATGCTCCAAAAGACTTTTTGAAAGTAGTAGTTCGCATTTTGAAGATTCATCTATGTTGCTTGCTGCTTAATTGGTTTATTTTCATTACTTTAGAATATTCCATTATATGAATATTCTGCTGATGGACTTTTGGATTGTTTCCAGTTTGGGGAATAATACTGTTGTGAATATGCCACCCTTTTGTTTATCTATTCAATTTGTTTATTCAGTTGATGGACAATTGGGTTGTTTCTACTTTTAGATACTATGACTATGGCTGAACTGAACGAGTTTTTGTGTCTATGATTTTTTTTGTGGATGTATTTTAATTATGTTGAGTATATACTAGAGAATACATGCTAAGCCTATATTACTGACATTGTTGAACATTTTGAGGAATGCTAACATTTTACAAAGCAGCTGCACTTGTTTTCTGTTCCCACCAGTATTGTACGTATAGGAAAGCAAGAAATAAATAGCTACAAAGGGTGTTTTTGTCTTGAACAGAAAATCCCTATTACTGGACCTCTAATTAGAAGAAAGTACTTCTATACTAATTATTCTGTTGATGTTTTTATCCCCATTTCACTCTCTTCCCAGAAAGCCTCCTCCAGCACAAGCTTCTGGCCTTTTTTATATACATGAATACATCAGTCGAATTAAATTATCCCCCAGAAAATCATCTCTATCCTAGCTCATTTTAGTAATATTTGCTTCTGAACAGCCTCCGGTTTTCAGAAAAAAATTTTCTAAGAATTTATTATTCATTACATTGAATACTTACATTTTTAAAGTTTTTAAATCACCTAAGAAAATTGAGTTTTTAAACTTTCAACTCATGTTTTTATTAATTATATAAGTTTAAAAATATTTAACAGCTTTATTGAGATATAATTCACATTCTTTTAAATATTTTTTTAATTTCACAAGTCCTTTCTCATAATTTTTGTTTATTTCTCTGTTGACCTATAGTAGTTATCCATATTTGTGGGGTAGACTGGTTTATTTTAGTACATGAATACAATGTGTAATGATCAAATCAGGGCAACAAACATATTCATCATCTTAAATATCTGTTAGTTTATGTTATGAACACTCGGTCTTTTCTAGCTATTCTGAAATGTACCTTTAATTGTCACCAACTATAGTTACTCTGCTGTGTTAGAACATTCACTGGGGAAAGGATAGTCTTCTTTAGTAAATGGCACCAGGAAAATTGAAAATTTTTATACAGAAGAAAGAAACTAGGTCCAATTCTCACCATATATGAAATTAACCCAGAATGATTAAAGACGTAAACATAAGACATGAACCATGAAATTCCTAGGGAAACTAAGAAATACTGCAGGACATTGGTTGAAGCAAAGATTTTCTAGTTAAGACTCCCAAAAGCATGAGCAACAAAAGCAAAAATAGACAAATGGGATTCTTTACATTTTTAAGCTGTTTATAATGTCGGTTTTTAACTTCTGAAATTACATTTTTAGCTATTAAAATTTTAATTTGCTTTAATTTCAAAACCATGTAAGTAAGGAAGTTTGAGAAAATTTAGAATGAATAAAATCATTCATAAAACCTCTTTTTTATACATGTTTTATATGGACGTATTTTTCATTATATGATTTCACAGGGTCTTTTTTTGTTTTCAGTAATTTTATCTACATTTTTATATGTAATGCTAACTTATTTTATTGGCTTTGTAATTATCCACTGGAAAAATCGATATATCAGAAGGGAATGAAGAAGAACGATGTCAACAACAGCATAAAATGCAAATCTCCCTAAACACTAGAAAAACAGAGAGAGCAATTAGAATAGCAAAACCAGATTCCCATGCTATGCTAGATTGTGCCTGTCCTTTAAGGGTCACAGCAACTTTTATTTCTGCTTTGGGAAAGCCAATGTCTATGTAAAAAGTGTAGTTACCTTGGGACTACCCTGCTGTGAGGAAGCCTAGGCCTGACACATGCAGCTGA